TTACTTTTACCAATTATTTATAACTATATAGAAAATACCTCTATATTAGTCACACCTCTTTATAATCACGGTTTTTTTTGTATCCCGAAGGTGTGACTATAGAGGGGTTTGACTGTACTTATAAATTGTACATGTTTATAATATCACCTAATCACTGTGTTTCAAATGGAGATTTTCGCCCATATGGACTATATTAAAAATTAAGTAACCAATTAAATTTAAAAAATTTGAGAAGAATATCCGATAATTTCCGAAGGTTAAACAAAGATGATCGATTAAGATTTAGGCGCTAAGCCGCTTTTTAAATATAAGCCGATAAATAATCCGATTAGTTAGGATAAAGGTATGATGCTTTTATAATGTAAATTATAAAATTATATTATAAGTCATGCAAATTGAATATTAAGTAACGTAGTGATAATAGTACAATTGATAAATTTTGTGTTATACTAATTTTCGTTGATTTGCTGATGCAAAATCTAAAGTTTGTGACAAATCAATAATCAAGCCTCATCAATTCCAAGCTCAAAATTTTATAATCAGGTTCCGCCAGCTTTCATTTCATTTAACCATCTTTTTTTCCTATCTGCGCCACATTTAACCATCTTTTCGCTATATAATTGGCCAAATTCATTGAAGACTTTTCAACTAGTATGTAATATAACCACGAAAGAATGATCGTCAACAAATATGATATTATCACTGCATCTAACATATTATTAGCCTTCTCCAGTTGATCAACTTCCTTTTCCGCGCCGCTTATACCAATCGAAGTCAAGAATTCGTTCACGAATGTTAGTGCGATTGGATGTAATAAATATATACTAAACGAAATCCGTCCACAAAAGCGTAGAAAATTACATGAGCATGCATTGACAAATGAACCGTCACGAGATAGGAGGCCTACAAGAATTAGGCTAGCATAGAGAAAACCGCCAAAACTATTTTCTAATTTAACCTCATATTTCTCATGTCCCGTACGAGGCATTCCTAGAATCTTTTCAGATAAATGAGGAAGCGTACAGAAAATTATAAAAAGTATGATATAACACCCCAAATCAAAAAACAACCTAATAAGCTGATGGCGACTAGGAAATTTCATAATAATCCATTTCATAAAGCTTAAATTTTTATGAGTAATCTCATTAAAATTGTTGGATTTACTAATTAATACCTTTTCTTCTTTCAAACTCAGTGGCAATAGTCCGAGGCGAATTATTTCCCTGTACCAAATTGCACAAATTGTGCCCGCCAAAAAAACATGAGCATTTGTTGTCAGATATCGGTCATGATAATCACCATATAATGATAACAATTCAGACCGGACAATCATAAGAATTATGTTACAAAGTATTCGACTTATCCATGCTCCAATATTTGGCCTTCCAAATAAATAATTTGTAAGGTATGCACCAAAGCGAGTCAATTCTACATATCCGATGACAATTATTGGTATACATAAATAGTACTATATTGCATATTTAATATATTATTGTTATTACATATAAATGTAAGAAAAATGGGTTATTATGGAGATAAATACCTTTATTTCGGGAGGAATGGTCCAAAAAGTAAATTTTGCTTCTTGCAATAATAAATGAGGGATCAAATTTGAGGTCTTTATGCGTTCATGATAAGCTTTTCTGATGAAGTCATTATATGCAATAATAAGTAAAAGAATCGCGTAAGGTGGGTATACTCGCATAAATCGGCGGAGAAAGAACTTTAACCAAAGCTTTATTGCAATTTGATGGGTTTTCCACTTGTCGAAAATATTATATTTCGTTTTTGTTGAAGAGATTTTAGTCTGTAATATATTAATTAATTTTAAAAAATTAAAATTTAATTTAACGATTCAATATAATATATTTTAAATAAAAAATTACAAGATTAAACACGCCATAGAGGTTCAAAGAGGTTTAAAAAAAATTACAAGATTATCACAGTCCGTTTTTGATAAAAGTGGATCCGTTAAATCCGCTTCTAGGTCAATTTTACTTTCGAAATCATTTTTATTTCTTGCATTCGTATCAATATGTTTTTCGTTTTCAATGGTTTCATGATGCCGTTCCCAATCCAACATTGATCGAAAAGTAAGTAAAAAGGCCGAAAGTACAAAAAAACATCTTACTCCAAGATAACCAACGTAGTTAAATGTTGTGAATGGTAACGTCTGATTGTAAAATCTCTGTGAATGCTCATATATGACGCCTAAAGCCGCTGCACCACGAATGCCATCAAGAAATGATGCATGAAATATTATCTGATTTTGAGACATTATTGATTCTATATTTTGATTCAATGTTTATAAAAATTGTTAGTATATATTTATAATAAAATTTTTACTAGAAATTATATTCATCAATTCTAAAACCGGTGTTACACTTCTAATTTTCATGCACCCAATGTTTCTTATTTTAATTCTCTTATTATTATATCCTTCATTGTTCCATAAGATAGAGCTTGGATCCGGTCACCCGTTTTCATATTAAATTTAACGGATATCCGACGGATTTTACTATTAAACGGATAACCGGATTCAAGCTCAACCATAATATATTATTATTATTTTAATTAACTCGCATAGTTTATGAGCATTACGATTTGAATTTGATAAGCATTATTAATTTAGTATGAAAGTGTATTCATTCGGGATCTGCTTTGTATGAATGTAAATGTGATTCGGCCCAAGTCCTTTTTTCCAAGGTCCGAAAGTTTTGACTTTTGTGTTTCGATATACTACTTCATATGTGAAGCAAAGTAAAAATACAATCATTTAATGTATTTATGCATTTGACAAGCTTTATCTAGCTGAATTAATAGCATTCACAGGGCATGTCCTTGTACGTACAGGGGTTCCAAATGTCGATCATGTAGTAATTTTAGGGCGATTAATCAGTCGATCCGGACTGATGATCCTTCAATCCATCCAAGGATCGGGAGTCCTCCTTAAGATGGTTCAAAAGGACAGCAGTCTTAATAATAGTTTGATCAGACTGGACCGGAGGAGAAGGAATGGAAGACTTAGAGCAGCTTAGCGGTATCATAATGAAGTCTTATTGAAGTGAATTCCGAGCCACGAATATGAATTAGGGGTAAGATAAAGAAAATTAGAAAGTTCACGTCTTATTTAATAAACTATCAAAGTAATTTGGAATCTGCAAGTAATTCAGACGTTAGATTAGAGGTATGTTTGAACTTTTAAGTTTACTTAGAGATAAAATAAATCAACTGAACACGGCAATTTAAGCTGTCTTTTGGATATTTTGTGAAAACTTATTATTTGTAATTCCAAATAATATAGAAACCTGACTATAATATAGGCTAAGAGTATGAAGTTGAGAGTCATAAGATTTATAGATTTCATGAGAAAATATAAAACGAATTAGTGGTACGTAGCTTTATAACGATTATTAATAAAATTAAAGATCAGTTTGATATCAGAGCGGATACTAAAAGTTGTTATTATTATTTTTTTATTAACCATTAGTTTTCTAGAATAGGTTCAATTATTTATTTTGTAGTATGCTAGAACTAGTTCTTTAATCGAATTTTGGTTTATCGGAATTTTGTTCACGGCAAGATTATAGTTTTATCTTTTAAGTTATCAAGATTTCATGATAAAGACTTTTTGGGGATTAATTTCATTATAGATATAGTTATTTTTTTACATATCAGTTTTTAATTCGTGACAATTTAGAGTTTAGAATTTCGATTAACCTATAAAATTTTATTATATCACGGGATGATATACAAAAATTGGCCAATAACAATGAAAGCTCGCTATGCCGTACACTGTTACGGAAAAATTTCGTCGAAATTTTCCTTACTTGCAAATTTTCGATATATAGTTTCTTTATACCCCTATGTAAAAGCAGTAAACTACGTAATAGCGATAGTATTAGCACGTGTACGGGTTCGAAACCCGGGATTAGGGTTTGAAACCCAGGATCCGGGTTTGGAATCCCAGATCTGGGTTCGGAACCCCAGATCTGGGTTCGAAACCCCAGATCCGGGTTTATAAGTACAATAGATACGTGACCTAACTTTTTCACAAGCCCTGACCTTGCCCAATAAGTAACACGTGGTAACCAATCGGACCCTAACCGTAACCTGTAACGACTTAACTTGGACCCTAAACAACCTAAACGCAACCCATAAGGACCTGACTTGAACCTCAACTTGAACCTATACGAAGCCCGTGACGACCTCTTACAAATATAGTTTAATTGAAGCGACGATATAACCTAAGCATAGTGCTACCCATTCCCACGATACTTACCCCATTCGATAACCATTACTACGTACGAATCTGGATTGCGCAACTTACCATCAGAATTTATGCTTACGACTAAAGATGCTTGACGAAACTATTTTTGAATTGACGAATGGTTTCGTCAAATGACGATACAGACGAATCGCTGACG